AATGAAATATGTTTGGAGTTTTATTTGAGTTATTAATTTACATTTTTTGTCTAAGAAATGCTGATCTGAAACCGTTGTTACATACAGTTACGGCATACTTGTCAACACTCCCGATTTTCGCGGGAGACTCCCGATTTCATTGCCCTCTCCCGGTTTCCACCCGGGGTCATATTTCTCCCGCATTTCTCCCGATTTCAGACAAAATCAAATTTACTCAGGACTGTTTCCACTCTGACTTTAATACAGCTACACCATTGTTTGGTTTCCATGGTAGTGCGTCTCTTTAGTAGCGCGCGCAACTGAAAGTCTGAGAGGGTGAGGAAGATAGTCACAGTAAACAGAACAAGAATGGACAACTCTACCCTCTACTCACTCATTTCCTGTAAAAATACAGGTCCAGCCCACACATATGTTCCATGCTGTTGCTTCAGGCCGCAAGGCAATGCACTTACACCTACAATAAGCATGTTAATGTTAATCTAATACCCCGCGGTGGTTTTGAAATGCTGTCATTCACTCTCAACATGGATACAAGTACAATAAGCATTCTTCAGGTGTAGGTAGATTCTCTATTAGGACATTATAGGCCTGTGCGACTGTCGGTCCGATGTTGTAAAAAAAAAAAATCTCAATATATATATTTTTTTTTTATTCTCAAAATTACGGGCCACATATTATTGCTGACGGGCCAACAATGGCCCGCAGGCCGCCTGTTGCCGACCCATGCCCTAAGTGATATAGGGTTGTTTTGTAACTACCTTAGTGATGTCGGGGGTCAGCAGGTTGGAGGTGTCTTTGAGGCGGGAGATGGAGCTGTGACAGAGGCCCCCGGTCACTGCCATTAGAGTGTTAAAGTTTTGCAGAGCTCGAAGTCTCTGAAGAGGAAAGAGGAGAGTGAAAGTCATTTTTGATCAGTTCTTGGTTGTCCAATCCCCCTTGTGATGTTTGAACCCCTGATCCAGTTTACCTGAGCCACGTGGATGAACTTAGTGAAGACCTGGGCTCTCTGCTGGGCCGTGTGTCTGCTGAGGATCATCAGCTGCACCCACTGGGAGACCCCGTTACACATCATGACGGAGCGCTCCAGAGCGGGGTTGTCCCTCACCGAGCCGCGCATCACATAGCTGCGGTAGTCCATGAACTGGCCAATCAGAGAGCAGCGTTTATGCGGGAAACAACTGTTTTTAATCAGTTTTTCAAGCAGAAGTGTAGAAATCTGTCACAAATTCAACCCGATCACCATTTACCAACCACCTGATTGTATTATGAATCACTGTTCAGTGCAAGAGGAGAAACAATGTATTACTTCCTAATGCTTTTACTCTTCTCTTCCATAAGAGAAAACTATTCTAACATCTAGAAGGAGCATTGAACCTGACTTATTAATTAAAGAAAGCTATTTTGACATCGTGCTATCTTTACATCGACCAGCTTTCCGGTTTCTTTCCTATGTATGTTCTGAGGGGGTTTACAAAGTGATTTGGTCATATATCATTCATAGGCTGTTTTCTGATGAATAAAGTGATGCCCAGAATGAGTCCTAAAACCCTGAAATGAGTAATGAAATGGTTCAGCACTTCCAGTTCCATAAGTGTTTTTAGTTAGAGGCCTGATAGAAGGTCTGTGGTTAACACAAGTTGAAGGGATTTGAATGTTTTATTGTACAAAATCATTTTCAGTACATATCCCTCTGAAGATTCTATGTGTCTTAAAAACAGCGGTTGCTAACAATTGGCTGAATGAGAATACTAGACGTCATCATGCCAAACAATTGCTGCTTTTAGCATAGTAGTGGTTCAATTATTTATTTTATTTAATCGTTTATTTGAACCGGGACAGTGCACATCGATGAACACTTTAAGACAAAGCAATGCTTACAAGTGTAAATGAGCCGGATTTGAGCTTTAAGCTAATTTCCATCCGCAGTCCCCTCACATACAACATACAAGAACATGGCATTTATATACATAGCAAAAATAAATACATGACATGCAGCCTAGCGTTAGTTTTTTACTTGCCTCTATCGAACAAATTATAAAGGTTGTGATAATATTTGAAGATTATCTTGCTGATCAAAATGTTTAACTTTTATAAATGTGTGTTTGCCACAGATTTTATTTTCTGCAATATTAGGAAATCTAATTGAGAAATCCCATTGCTTCTAGTCTTCCGGGTTCAGCCTACAAACATACTTCATCACTGATCCACTGTGGAGTGATACAAAGGAAAACTATTCTAAAATAGCACATACAGTTTATTTAATTAGATAATGATAGTTTTTGGTTTAATGCTCATAAGCTCTTTTTTAGGATGTAAGTAATGTAAACCGTCCATTGGGTCTTGCTGGAGAAATGCTCAAATTTGCATAAACAGTAAGTAATGCGGCAGATAATATTCACCAATCAAAAGGTATTCCTCACAATCTGCTCATACTAAAGCTTTTTTTAAAAGACTGGGCCCTTTTCATTGTGTGGCCGATAAACCCTCAGCAACAAGGAATGGATTTGACTCTATATATTATAAAACATTTAGCATTTGAATTGGGATTTGGTCATAAAGTGTGTTAATTAATCTATTTTGTTTGTTTTGATCCTGGCAACCTGAAAAGGCCTCATTAAGCAAAGTAAAAGCAGTAAACAGTTCTAAGCTGTTGCCTGAACTCACTGAGACGTTGCAGAAGTTCTTGAACTCCAGGTAGCTCAGGTGCTCGGCCATCTCATGTGGCTCCATGTGGTCGAAGATCAGAGACACCTTCCTCTTCTTCACAGAGGGCGAGGGTGCCTGGAACATGTTTGCATGAGGGCCTCTGGGGACAAAAATAGACGTTAATTTTTCTAAAAAAAACCTCTATTTTCTATTTTTAGTAAAACATGTTTGGCTAAATAACGCCATTCCTTCATGCAATAGGGGTGAATGAAACAAAAACACGGCTCACAAGCAGGAGTTGTCGACAAGTTGGGAGTGCGTTTCAACTCCATCGGACCGCACCAGCGCCCACAGGTCCCCCATGGTCTGCTCCAGGAGGGGGTCCGCCTCAAACACCGCCGGGAACTGGCTGATCCACTGCCTTGCCACCAAGCAGCACAGGAAATATGCTTACTACCCGCACAGAGAGCAGGATAACCAGTTCTGTCACACAACATGTGCCCGGTGCCCTTACTCACCTGATGAGGTGGCAGATCTGAGTCCGCTTCAGGCCCCTCTTATCCGAGGGACAATCCTTATAAGTGAGAGAAAGAGTCAAGGATCTGAAACACCCTGTGCAAGAAGTGGCAGAACATTACACTAGCAGGGATATATATTTCAAATCTGCTTGTGGACAAAACAAAGCCACGGCTGTTTCCCTGATCTGATTAAAGGACGTGGACATGTGATCGGGAGCAGTGCCCCCGTGGGACCTGCACTGAGAGACAGCGGAGGATATAGAGTGAGAAGTTTCTGGGCGAACATCTGAGATGGCACCACCCAACCGTGCATCATCAGGGTCATATCGACCAGCTGGGACCCCCTGGGGCTGGTGAGCTTCCCCTCTGGATCTGCAGCCAAAAAACAGCAGAGGATTAGTTAAAACTACAACAATAACACCAGGAAGTGGACAAGCAGGGTGGGTCAGTGGACAAGTTCAGCTGGTTTTAGACACTCAGCTCCATTTGAGTGGGCTTTAGATTGTCATACTGCTCTTCTCCATGTGCTTTGTTTTTCTGGCTGATTGGACTTCAATTTCCTGTAGGAGTGAGTGTCTTACTGTATTAACCTTGCGATAATATGACCATCCACCATTGGAGAAAAATCCAACTGTATATTAGGGTAGAAATAGGCAATTGAAGGAAAAAAAGACGTGTACAATTGTGTCTTATTTACTTTGAAGTGTACCTTTTCATAAAAAGAGCAACCAAGTGAAAGTCAATGTCTATCACTGGGTTGCTTATGGCAGTTGGTAAAAGAAGGGCTTTATTGAAATGGACTGGCATGTGGGGGTTTCACCACTTGTGGACGGTTTTCTTATTATTATTATTATTATAAATATTCAATCTCCAAGACAAGGTGATTATTATTATTATTATTATTATTATTAATTGTAGTAGTGGAATACTTTTTATTGTTATAATTAATATTATATTTCCCTGGATTAACCCAGATTGACCAAGGACCTTATTATTATTATTATTATTATTATTATTAGCATTAGCATTAGCATTATAATAATATGAATAATACATTATTATTATTATTATTATTATTATTATTAGTAGTAGTATTATTAGTAGTAGTAGTATAAGTAATATAAGTATGTTTATGTTATTTTTCATATGTTTATATTACATTATTAATACATTTGTATATGCATTATTATTTCAATTATTCAAGTTAAAACTTTAAGCACCACAAAATAAATCTAATTGACCTCCTTTAGTGTGGCAGGAGGAACTCTGCCAATCAGGCTGTGTGTGATCTGTACATCAGTATTATATGACAGGTTTTTGTGATGTTGATGAATTGACCAATGAGAAGAGACAGACTGGTTCAGCGCAGCATGGGAATAGCTGGTTGGCCTCAGCGGTCCGACAGAACAAAGCTTGATTGTATGAGACTGCCCTTTGTCTCCCCCCCTCCGCCCCCTCCCTGTCAGTCTCTCTCAGCCTGCACCCCCCCCTCCTCCTCTCTCCCTCATCCCTCATTTATATAACCTGCTTGTGATGAAGAGTAAAGAAAGACACATGACAAAGTTGGGGAACACGCTGACACGTAGCGACTGACCGAAGCAGTTCAGGCAGCGCTGGATGAGCTCATCCAGGCTGGCAGCTCCGGGGTTGGGGGCCGAGCCGGGGCCCTGCAGGGCCCTCGTGATGTCCTGGGGACTGGGACATGTGTTCCTCCTGCGCTGGACCAGCTTCCTGCTCTCTCCATGGGGCTTCCTGAGGGGGTGAGAGACCAGTCTGACTCAGAGGAGAATGCAATGTGTATCTGACCCTGATGTAGAAGAAAACCTGGCTGCCAAAAGAGAAGTGACTGTGCCAAAAGGGCCAAAAACAATGAAACATAACCGGCAAAATGTTTTCCCCAATTCTCAAAAAAATTCAAACAATTTATTTAATCAGAGAATGAAAAACTAAAGGATCGTACTGGGAACATTTAAGAAAGCTGCATTCGCACATCTATTTTCCTTCTTTTTTTATTGATGTATTAAATGTATATGTTATCCTTGATAATAATCAATCATTTTTCTATATGATTTCAGAAATGGGACTTTTTGTTGAATTTGTCTGGGAACAATTTTCCCCTAATTCTCTAATAGACACCCAAAATTGAGGAAATCACATAATGAAAATCTAGAAATCGTACTGAGTATGATGTATGTATTACCAGTTATATCTTGTTTAATAATCAAAAACCCGCCTATATGATTTGAGTTTTTTTGGCTACTATGAGGGGTTATAAATGGGACTTGGGTGAGTTTTTAGTTCAATTAGTTCATTCATGTTAAAAAAAGAACATTGTTTTCCTTGTAAAGAACGACATTCTGCCTTAGTTGAAAGCATACAAATTCATATTGTGATTGTAATTTTTTGCACAATGCTTTGGCAGTACTGAGAGAGAAAGAGTCAGACATACAGGAGGATGAGCAGCGTGGAGATACAGTTGCAAGAAAAAGTATGTGAACCCTTTGGAACTACCTGGATTTCTGCATAAATTGGTCATAAAATGTGTTCTGATCTTCATCTAAGTCACAACAATAGACAAACACAGTCTGCTTAAGCTAAAACCACACAAATTATATGTGTTTATGTTTTTATTGAACACACCATGTAAACATTCACAGTGCAGGGTGGAACAAGTATGTGATCCCTTGGATTTAATAACTGGTTGACCCTCCTTTGGCAGCAATAACCTCAACCAAACGTTTCCTAATAGTTGCATATCAGACCTGCACAACGGTCAGGAGGAATTTTGGACCATTCCTCTTTACAAAACTGTTTCAGTTCAGCAATATTCTTGGGATGTCTGGTGTGAATCGCTCTCTTGAGGTCATGCCACAGCATCTCAATTGGGTTGAGGTCAGGACTCTGACCGGGCCACTCCAGAAGGCGTATTTTCTTCTGTTGAAGCCATTCTGTTGTTGATTTACTTCTGTGCTTTGGGTCGTTGTCCTGTTGCATCACCCATCTTCTGTTGAGCTTCAATTGGTGGACAGATGGCCTTAAGTTCTCCAGCAAAATGTCTTGATAAACTTGAGAATTCATTTTTCCGTTGATGATGGCAATCTGTCCAGGCCCTGAGGCAGCAAAGCAGCCCCAAACCATGATGCTCCCTCCACCATACTTCACAGTTGGGATGAGGTTTGATGTTGGTGTGCTGTGCCTTTTTTTCTCCACACATAGCGTTGTGTGTTCCTTCCAAACAACTCAACTTTGGTTCATCTGTCCACAGAATATTTAGCCAGTAGTGCTGAGGAACATCCAGGTGCTCTTTTGCAAACTTCAAACGTGCAGATCACAGAACCCATTCTTTTATGACCAACTTATGCAGAAAATCCAGGTAATTCCAAAGGTTTAACATACTTTTTCTTGCAACTGTAAGTAAGCAGCATGTGGTGAGATGCTGCAGGTCAGCGTCTGAGGATATTGCAGCAACTGATAAGCTGATCTGACTCTGAACCATCAGCACACTCACACAAAAACAAGTGTCTCTGCACTGAAGCTGCAGATCATCAGTCCCACTTTATGGTGAAACAATCCAGGAAATGCACATATTGTTCAATAGCTGACACTCTTACTACATTGATAATTTATTTAATTTCATTGAGGTTGTTCACTCATAGGTTAGGAAGGATATTTCAATCCTACAATTATTTGTGCATTGTATCCATTAGTTAATGCATGCATTCTATTTTTTGGTAAGCTTCGCATAATGCTCTGTATAATGTTATGCAGTAGAAGTAGAAAGCACCAGTAAACTGAAAAATACTATACAGTACCCTAAATTGTGTTAAGGCATTATACTTGATTAATGTACTAATGCATTGTCAGAGGTTTTCGTTCAATGGATATGATTCTAATTAAGTGCCTGCAGGTCGAATCATGAAAAATATTTTTCTTCTGTTTGCAACAAATAGTGCTTTCAAAGCTCAAATTCCTTGTAATTGCATCGCAATTACAGAGACATTGATCTGCTATTAGTTAATGAGGTATATATAATCATAATGACTCTGTACGGTGGCCCTTGAACTGCAAGTCAAAACAACATTTCAGAAAACGACCACAGCATTTTCAGAAAACACTTCAGCATTTCAGAAACACTACAGATTTCAGCAGCTCCTGAGTGCTAAACGCCTAATGCTGATGTTTTTAATGTTGAAGCTGTTCGGGTCTGCCAATCATGACGTGTCATTTCTTGAATTGGAGCAAACCAGACAACCAATCCACAGCAGTGCTTCTCTGGCTGCTCTGTCGACATCACAAACAAAAGTGTTCGCCTATAGGGAATAACCTTTCCGTTAAAAGTGTGAAAGTGTTGAAGCGTTTTGTAATGCTTGGCTGCCTTAACGGTGAATGCTGTATGGATTGTGAAATGCTGTAGTGTTCTGAAATGCTGTAGCATTGTAGTGATATGGAGTAACGTCAGGTGTATATGTGAGCAATGCTGTAGCGTTTTCTTAATTGCTGTATGCGTTAATAAAAACGCTCTAACGCTAGAGCAGTGACGTCCCATAGACAGGTACGCACAGTCTGTCACGCCTGGTCAGACTCACATCAAAGCTTTGAAGAAATGCTGCCGCTCAAGTATGCAATGATTTAAAGTTAATGGCACAGTAAAGTGAGCTATGCAACTTACGCGGAGTAATTTAACGAAAACAGCAGTAGTTAGATTGATACTGTAGTACATTTGTCTTAATAGAAGAGAGCAGAAGCGTCTGTCAAGAAACTCGTAGGAACGTCAATGATGTCATTCTGAACTAGGAATTTCATGGCGCAATGTTCCCTGTGACAATCCACTAATCACAGTGTGCTCTTATCTGCAACGACGTGGTGCTGCTACCAGGACAGCTTGAGCATGGTAAACCGGAGCATATTGAGGCCGACAGTACCCACGGTGGTGACCGAGTCACAGTAGCTTTTTGACTGGAGCGCAAGGAAAGCCACTCACAGAAATAACGATTATTGACAATTATGCCTGTGAATACAAAGACAACGCTTCATCATCTGTACGAAAGCCAAGTTATCAAACCTCGTAAAATATGGTTAAACGGAACTGCTCCCTGGTCTAATATCCGTCCAACTCTTCTCTCCGAGTGCAGGTATGACTTCCACATTAACCCTACAACATGTAAACCATAAGATAGAAAGGCTTAAACTGCTATTGTGACATGTTTTAACGCGATAGGTAGATACACTCAGCTAAAAGTGAATTGGTAGCCGAAACACAACTTGTTATGACATCTCTAACAGATCTCGGTTTAAAGTGCAATTTGAATAGTGTGCATTCATACAACAACAATAATAACTGATTCAATAGCTCCAATAATAGCTGCAATATCATAATCAGCGGCGGTCGCTGTGATTAATCCTGGGATATCATTCCCACACTTTGGGAACCCCTGCGTAGAGCATTCTCACTATTTCGATACATATAAACACTCACTGTGGAAATCCTACTACAAAGAAAATAACCTAATTTTTACACTTGAGTTGGATTGATAATACTGTGGTGATTATATCCAACTGATATCTTTGCTTAAGCAACGTAGGTCTAGGTTGCGGTGGTAAATCCAGTGTCCAGCAGAGAGCCCAAAAACATTTCTTTTTCCCTGGCCACATCGACCAGTCTGAACTCCATGGGTGATACCGACAGACGCTCAAGCGCCGATTCGCGATTCGGCCATGATCGTCTGGTCTTGTCTACCACTTGGACCTTTCTGTCCGCTTACTGGACAGCGTGCTCGAACACGCCTCTCCTAACACACCGCCACACACGTGGCACACACCTCAAACTAGGTAGCACACACACACCTCACATGGACTTTTCGGACACGCAGGAGGAGCGGATATCAACTTCCGAATCCCTCCCATATGACCGAACTCCCTCACACATACACATACAGGGAAGACACCAGCCATTCACTTGCGGAGAACACACATCCACGCACACACGCACACGCCACACACCACACACACACACTTCTCCGCCTCCATGACCCATCTTCATGACACCGTCGTTAGGCTGACGCACGCAACCATGCGCGCGGTGACAGAGAGTGGCTTCCTTGGCTCAAGCTTTTCGTCACAACAACGGTGCGGTATAGCACCCAGTGGCTACGTGATTAACAATGAAATTATCTACTATTATTTAAGCTGTGAATTAGTCTATTAAATTGTATGGTTTGAACCTAAGCCGTAATATAGGGTAATACACAAAAAGTAATGCTTATGTCGAGACTATCTGATACAACAAACGCGTTAATCTGATTCTGATTGGACCACGAAAGACATTATCGAAAGATCGTCTAATCACGGCATCACGATCAACCACAACGCACACAAATCTCACAACACCGTTATCTAGTCGTCCCGGTTCCCGACAGTGGGGCTGCTGAATCAATCTTACAACTTTCTTCTCTTGTGGCAATTTACTTCGCGCGAGATTGGGGACTTTATTGTGCTTACCATAATACCATCATTCTCAATGTGCATTAGGAGGTGACGCTTGTTATCCTACACCTAGCCCATACACTGACGCTGCAACTATGTTGGGCGCGGGCCATATTCTGCGCCATGCGTTTTAAATGCGAAATACTACAACGGACAATTCTCTAAAATTGATCATCGAAGTTCCCATACATATTTGGACAGCAATTAGTTTATTGTATAAACCTGTTGGGTAAGAGAACTCCAGTATTAACCACTTATCCAGTGACAGTCTGATAACAACAGTCAGAGTTTTGCAAACGCACCCTCGACTGAGATGGGAGAATGTAGATCTCGGTTCTAGATGTGCAGGAAAGCTCGAAAAGGACTGTCTTAGGTCCAGGTATAAATGCCAGGAATCCCGGAAGTCAAAATTTAATATCCTTTTTAAGACCGTTTCTTCTAAGACCCTTTCCATACATTTTAAGAACCATCATCGCAACTTTGAGTTCTAACCGGTTAACTTGGCACACACTTTACCCTCAACCATTTACTATATTGATTGTAGAGAATAAAGCACAAACTAAACAGAAGTTTGCAGACCAGACTAACCTGAAGACCTCCTCTCCACATGAACTTCAACTCTCTGTGAAGGTCAGGTTTAAATGCAGTATGCTGCTTTGTGCTTCTGGTAGCCTCTGTGCTCTTTCCATTCCAGTAAAACTCCTCAGAAAACATTAGAAACCAGTATTTGACCAATAAACAAAACAATTGACAAAACTTTGAACTATGAAATATGTTAAACTTTGGTGAGCTTCAGCGGGGTAATGCTATATAGGAGCTCCCTCACAAATACCCAGGGGTTAAATTGGGCTGGGGCTGTCCGGGGCTAAGCCCTGGCACATAAGACGATGCTCTGACGTCATCACCCTCACACATTTGTCATATGTTTACAAAAAAGGATATATATGTTAAGACTTTTCTCGTTCTTAATATAGACTATATTTAGGGTCTATATGTGTTGACTTTACTTTAAAATAGCAGATCTCTGTGACCGGATATAGTTTGGCTTAGACCCCGGCCCCACAACGGTAAAACGCATACGCAAGCGCAAAAAAGGCTTCCGTTCACACGCATTCGATTCATTAACGTGTCCGTTCACACTAGACCGCTGGAAATGCTGGAAACGATGTAGTACATATGTCAAGCCTGTAAGTGGCGCTGCTGCCGCCCGAAATACACCAAAAGCAGCGAAGAAGACCCCGGAGCATGGTTGCCCTTCTGTTTATTCTCCGCGGTGGACGGCGTGTTCTCCTGCTGTATCTCTATGGTAGTCCACCAGCAGATGAAAAACACCCACCTCTCCGCCTCTTCAAAGGAACGAGGGGACCGTGCGGCAGTTTCCGTCAAAAAAATGTTCCGCCGGTCAACATGTCCGTTAAAGTTTAAATCTTCCGTACAAAATTAGAAAAGTGCCGGTCAGAGGTCTTCTTTGTTATTTATTGAGCTTTAAACAAATTGATAACGACTCTGTTCTCTGTATAATAATATAATAATATTTAATAAACGGTGACTGCCTCTCTTTTCCTCTCCCTCTTCTGACAGCCCAGCGGCAGCAGGAGACGTGGGGAGAGGGAGGCGGGCTATTTCATCGTTATCAGAAAATGATCATATAGGGCTTACACACGGAGCCGTTGGACCCCCAGAGCGTTGCGTATGCCGGTCTACCCACCTTGGGACCCGTTACCGTAGTCGTTTAGTCCCCCCCCCTACACAGAGCGGAGCAAGGCAACGAAACTTAAAATAATAAGCAGCATTTTAATAAATTAAAGGGTGTTTCATGTTGTCGTTGCTGTGAACCTTCTTAATACCTTGGAAAATGCCGTTTAATACTTTTTAATAGCCTTAATTTTCGCTAAATTTATTTATCAACTTTTAATACTTTTTAAGACCCCGCGGACACCCTGTAGGTAAGACAGCTTTTATGTGTGCAGCGCCACTTGCTTGGAACAGTATACAGCTAAAATTGATGAGCAATCTCATTCCTCTGCATGTTTTTAAAGCAAGTCCAAGTGAAATGCTCTTTGAAACTAAGGGTATTTGTAAATGTTGATAAGTATGTAAAAGTAGCTTGGAAATATGTTGTATGATATCCTCTATTGTTTTATGTTGTTTTATGCTTCATGTGGAACCTATTGCTGCAGGTCTCCCTTGAAAAAGAGATCTATGATCTCAATGGGACCAATCTGGATAAATAAAGGTTTGAAATGAAATCATGGTGAGTAACCGGGAAAGATGCCACATATTTCATCTCTCTGCAGGGTAGGGATTATTCCTGGAAGGTTAGCTGAGAACCTACTGATTGTTAATGCATAGTACAGAAGATATTATGAGTCTAGTTTGTTTTTATATTACTATCAAATGACTGAATATTTAAATATTTCATAGATATATAAGAATATAAAAATAATTAAGAAGAGTTCAGGTGTTGAAATGATTCTTACTGGAAGAACTTGAAGGCCTTGACAGTTCCTCCACTGTTAGAGAACAGAAGGCGGAGATCATCCTCTCCAACTCCATCCCTGGACGAGCAGAGTAACGCAGTGTTAGAGCACAGCAGCACGGAGGGATACACTGATTCAACTATTGGCATGGCGTAAGAAAAAGAGTGTTACGACTAATAGATGAAGTGGTTGTACTACCGGACATTGGAGAGGTGAAGTGTTGCAGAGGGAGGAAAGATGTTCTGGAAGTTTTTGGAGCCTGGCTTCTTAAAGCGATGGAGGGGTGAGCCAGAAAAATCTGTCCAACACAAACACAATATAGACATAATGACAGATTGGTCAAGAGGAAATAAACCTGGAGTAGCTTTTATTCAAGATGCAGATACTCCTTACCTTTGGTTAGCAGTTGGTCGTCCAGCCCCTCTCTGGGCAGAGCCACAGTCTGATGTTTGGACAGTGTCACTCTCATAACTTTACCAAACACCTTTTGACCATTCAAATGGCTCATCGCTACACATGAGGACAAAAAGGAAATACGGATTAGTGATAAAGCATAAAAGCATTTCCAAATATGCTGACACAGTACATCAGGCCTGTATGTCCATTATATGAAATCCATACAATTGTTCTATGGTTAAATAATACATTACCCTGCTATATATCTAGTATTGGTGTAGCCTAACCTTTACCTGCAACTGAGATTTGAAATGTTGTTCCATGACATAAAATACGTCAGTTAACACCTCACTGGTGAATGTCTGAAGCCTCTGATTAAATCGGCGGTTGCTAACGAGTGTCTAAAAGAGAATTCTCTAAATCCCTTGCGATGCAAACTGTCCGGTGGGCTTACAGAAATATGATGCTGCTGCTGCTGCTGCTGTAAACACTCACCCAGCTGAGCCTGGTTGCCGTCAGACAGCTGGATCAGAGCACTGTCCTTCTTGTTGTAGAGGATCTTCACCCTCTGGACATCACCATACACTCCTGAAGGTAGAGAGAGACACAGAGAGAGAGAGACAGAGAGAGAGAGAGAGCAGGGTGGAGTAGAGGACCAGAAAGAGGACAGAACAGACAGAGCAGGAGAGATGGAGCCAACGAAGATAAAAAAAGAAGAGGTGTGAAGGATGAAGGGAATAAAGTTAGTGCTAGAACGACAAATGAAAGGAAAAGATGGAATCCTCCCATTTGACAACCACTAGAAACTCAGTTACGGTACGTCCACACAGCAGCTTTGAAAAAATCTTGAAAATCTTGGAGCTGGGCGTGTCTGAGAGCTTGGGGATTTTTCGCGAGCAACGCGACCAACAACCAATCACATGAATCTCCCGCCCCCGGCATACAAAGCAAAAAACCCCGGGGATTTTATATATATATATATAAACTCCCCAAACAGGCGAAAACCTACCAGTTTCCCCCACTGTCTCTGCCACCTCCCTCCATGCCTGGTTCCTCCGGTTTGTATCCCGGTAAATAGTTCTGGTCGTAAAGAACAGGGTGATTTGCTACTGTAATTTCTCGTTTGGAATATGAGGAAATGAACTGCGGTCTGGCTCTCCCAGCTTGCACGCGGTTTGATTGGCTACTATGGCTAGCGCTTGTACTGTCAGATTTGCATAAACGGGATTTGATTGGCTGACGCTTCCAGCTCAGCTTCAAAAATCCTGTAAATCTTCGCTTCCCCACAATGCAGTTCTGCGAAAAGCGAGGCAAAGTGACGTCACTCCCATTCAAAGTCAATGGGCAGAGAAGCGTTGGAAGATTTTTTTAAAGCTGCTGTGTGGACGTACCGTTAGAGCCTTCTGTAGAGCAGAGTGACTCCGCCGAGATTACAGTGCTTCAAAATGTAACCATAACTGCACAGGGTAGGAGAAAAATCTATTTTTAGAAAACCTTTGAAAAGACATGCACTAACTGCTGATAGAATATGTTGTAGAGAAAAATATGTACAATTAAAGACAGAAAGAAGACCTAATACCATTTGTAGTTTTTAGGCCTTAATAATTTAAGGCTTTAAAAGATATAGGCGTATTCTCAAGTAGCTTACACAGTAACTAATAAGTGTCAGAACAAACACGTCTACTGTGAGGGTTATGATGGGCCTAGTTTAAGAGTTAGAGTAAACCCAATGTCATAGTTGTACACATTAAAATGAAAAGGTGAACTATGAATACTCTTTATTAGTCCAAATCTGGAGAAGAAAAGCAGAAGGACTGTAGAGGAATGAGTCTTAGTAACGCTCCAAAACCATTCAACATACAGACTCTGGAATGAATAAATGACTACAATCTGTAGTAGTGATTTTAGCACTTCCATCTTTGGCCGAGTACAGTTGTCCTTATATAGTTTGTACAATGAAATATTTTCCTGTGGTAATTATTGTTTCTGCAAGCTGCAGCCATGTTATATGCTAATAGTTTGAGTATTATTATTCTACTATTGTGAACCTCACAATAACCTCTGTGTGAAAGTAGAGGGACGCTTCACACCACGTCATGGAACAGAGTTTCCACAGCACAGGAAGGATTTTTGTGTCTCTGATCTCATCAGTAAAGAAATAAGCGGACCAAACACACAGTATCCTGTGTAACACACATGATAGAGGGAGGCTTGGAGATACAGAAAGATACAGAGGAATAGGATGTCCACGACCTCATTGAAGAAAGTGAACAAAATTGGATTAACAGAGAGAGATATACAGATAGAATAGAAGAGGTTGAACATACCGAAGAGGGTAAAGATACTTTGAGGCGTGACCATCTTTAGAGAGAGAGACCGCAGAGCAGAGGACAGGAAGAGGAGGAGCAGAGGAAGAGGAGAGACGAAGGTAGAGATCAGACGCCCAGTGTTGGACGAGGGGGGAGGCGGTGGTTTCCATGGTGATGAGCAAAGATGGAAGGTTTTGGAGGGGTCAAAAATGGCAAAACCAAAGTTGGGTTGGACCGGATTAAAAACCATGAGGACGGAAGATAGGAAAAGGAGTTGAAAAAAAATGAGGGAAAGATTTCAAGGGGAAGTTTATGACAATAAAGGATGTTTGGGCAAAAGGGGAGAACATAAATGTGTGAGGGGGGAGCAGAGGAGGGGAGAAAGGAGGACAAAAACCAAAGCAGAGGTCAGTAAACAGAGCATCAGTGGAACATCAATGGAGCACACACACACACACACACACACACACACACACACACACACACACACACACACACACACACACACACACACACACACACACCTGGATGCAGTGAGGTCAAGAAAGGATGGGTAGAAAATAATACATTTGAGAACGGAAAAATGAATAAAGCATGATGAATGAGGGATGAACTGTGATTGGCAGGAGATATCAGACCAAAGGGGGGCGGGACCATGGAGCAGAGGGACAACCAGATCACATGAGGTCACTGAAGGGGAACAAACATTCCCACTTACATTTGGTAACTTCATTGCAAAAATATATATTCATAGGTCTTTAAGGAAGTAAATCTTCAAATATAATCGGCAAAATTCCAATTTGGACCAGTCATATTTCTTTTGATTCAGCGGGATAGTGGGCTGCTCAGTATGCTGTGTTACCAGCGTTAATGACTAATAAAAGTCTCAGTTTCGGGAATGACCAAAATCACACAGTAGCAAGTTGTTTTGAAGCTTCTGCAGTCAAATGATACCTGCATTTCAATGGCGACGTTATTGTTTGAATGCAATATGTAGCCAAGTCAATTGTGCATTTCACGGAGTTGGTAATTAATACTTCACCTAACAGTTTTGTAAAGTTATTTAATACATTTCAAAAAAAATTTACACTTTAATATATATTTCTCTAGTAAATATTCAATGGTGGTGGTATTGAAAAAGGTTTACACTCAGTGAATCTATTGGTATCGTTATAACTTCATGGGTACTGGTGTCATAATTTTTTACATCATGTTTTCCAGGAGTATAATATAGAAAATGTCTCACTTGGTCCAGTTCTCAAGCAAACTGGGTTTATACAGTCAAATGTGTATTTTGTGTTGGTGTTTCTAATGCTACGCTGGAGACAGGGGAAGTGTACTGCATACAACTGACTCAGTTCTGACCAGAGATCTGTCCATTTGATGACACAGTTGAGAAAGAATGAACAAGTGACTGAAAAAAACATCCCCAGGACTCAACACTCACAACGTGAACAATGGCCACACCAAAATCAACCCCCCCAAGTGTATGCTGCCGATTGGTCACCAGAGAACAGCCAAGATACAAAATCCCCTTAGAAAGGGAAACGTGACTCCACTATGGAGTCTGACAGAGGAACAGAGAGAGAACCCAGAGCACTCTGACGGAGAGATGGAACACAGATCAGATAACAGATACTGGAGAGGACCAGATGGAGTAGGTACACATTTAGAATTAGAGAAGAAAATGGAAACTGACAGAAGAAACTGAAATCTAAGATATAAGTATGTAAGGTGGGAATTTAGCTAAGCGAAACAGAGCTTCAAAAACAGAACTTTGGAGATCAGATAGAGACATAATGTACTATTTCAGGGTGGACAAACACAATCACAGACCAACACAGTAAATCATACTTCAATTAAGCTGAAAATGATCCAGTGGTGTGGGTTCAATTGTGGAAATGAGTGATTTAAAGAGGAGATTGCAGATAGTCATTGAGTTAACTTATGGCATGTGTACCTCTTCATTCAGGTTTGATGCCAACAGGACTCCTGACACTCCGGACCCAGACAGAGCAACACGACCAGCCGCCGCCGCCGCTGCCGCTGCGGCGCTCAGAGGACTGATGGCTCCTGATGGCACAGCACGAGACAATCAACATGTCACACAGCAGCAGGAAGTACAAACCACTAAAACACTTGCTGCAACAAAAAACAAACCCAAAACAAATCTTAGCCGCTTTCACAATTATCTCAAAGTTTTACGACATCAAAATAATGCAAAGAAATCTGAAGCACAAAAAGAAAAATATATTATAATGAAGGATGGAGATGTGCTTGCTTCCTCAATCAACAGGATGGCAAGATTTTAAATCACAAAATACATTATAATTAATGTGCAACTTTTTAAAGTTCTAAAACTGAATTAAAGTGCACTTGCACTGCACTGAACTGTTATCAAACAACCTAGGGCCCAGTCACACAAACTAATATATAAAACACCCTGCATTCCGCTATGTCCATAGATATATATTCAATTTGGATATTTCAATATATTCAAGGCTAGCACATTTGATGATGCGTTCTTACTGTTTCACTGCATATGCAAAGGATTGCGCCACAACAATGTTTCATGATAATGACTTAAATAAACCTTAACAAAATGTACTTTTTGTGAAAATACACACAAACGTAAAAGCAATTATAGCCAAGTAAGGCCTTCTGCACTACGCAGCTGGTTAAGAAGTAATTAGCTAAGGAACCTCAGTTTACAAAAATCTAAGCCACATTTTGAGTCACAATTAATTTAGGCTTATCAATTCCAGTTGACCTGCATCAAAATATGTAATATAGAAAACGATGTTTACCACATTATAACTGATTCCAGCTAATCATAAATATATTTCCCTTATCTATTAATATAGCTGTACTATCAACCTGAATTTGAATTATTTTCCAGTGCTTGCACTTTTAGAGAACGATAATAGGACATGACATGAGACAGGGCAGCAGCATGAAGGAAAGAGCAGAGCGTGTGATGGATAACAGAATAAATATTATTAGGAATGATGAAAAGATAGGTACCTCCGCCCTGCGAGAGGGAGAGAGAGTTTGAGTATCCTCCTCCACTCGAGTAGGAAGCTAGCGCTCCAGATGGGGTACCTAAGAGACAACGACAACTAGATTTATTCCACAAAACACTGATATAGTGTAAGAGTACAAATACCAAAAGACCAACAACAGTCTGAGTCTGCAAATGATTGAAACCGTGACAGTATGATACCGTGGGAACATGTTGAAGGAACTCGTTTTGTAGCTGAAATGAATGTAACTAATTATCTTGCTCCCAACAGACTAGAAACAATATTTTTTAAGTAAATAACATTTATAATAAAGCCCTTTTCACAGACATAGTCACAAAGTGCTTGACAAAGCATTAAAACATCATACTAATTAAGTGCTCAAAACACAATCAATTGTGAAAAACACAATAGAATAGAATAAAAGCACACAAGTGACCCAACCGCTTGCCCAAACAGGAATGTCTCTAAATGACATTTAAAAGTCAACAGAGCCAGCGGACCGTAGGTGAGCGGGCAGAGCGTTCCATAGTTTAGGAGCCACAGCCTGGAATGCTCGATCACCACAGATCTTAAGGAGAGTACGTGGGACAGACAGTAGGTTGAGCATGTTTGTCCTCAGAGAGCGAGCTGATGAGTATGGGTGACTTTCATGATAGCACACTTACAGGACTGTCTCAGAAAATTAGAATATTGTGATAAAGTTCTTTATTTTCTGTAATGCAATTAAAAAAACAAAAATGTCATACATTCTGGATTCATTACAAATCAACTGAAATATTGCAAGCCTTTTATTATTTTAATATTGCTGATTATGGCATACAGCTTAAGAAAACTCAAATATCCTATCTCTAAATATTAGAATATCATGAAAAAGTATACTAGTAGGGTGTTCAACGAATCACTTGAATCGTCTAATTAACTCGAAACACCTGCAAGGGTTTCCTGAGCCTTGAAAAACACTCAGCTTGGTTCAGTAAACTAAATCACAAGTATGGGGAAGACTGCTGATCTGACTGCTGTCCAGAGGACCGTCATTGACACCCTCCATCAGGAGGGTAAGACACAAAAAGAAATTTCTCAAAGAGCAAGCTGTTCACAGAGTGCAGATTCAAAGCACATCCACAAAAAGTCTGTTGGAAGGGGGAAATGTGGCAGGAAACGCTGCACAACCAAGAGAGATGACCGCAGCCTTAACAGCATTGTGAAGAAGAGTCGCTTCCAGAATTTGGGGGAGCTTCAAAGACAGTGGACTGAAGCTGGAGT